CTCCTTTTGGGCCACAAATGCAAACCTCCTCGTGGTGTGGCCTGGACATTGAACGACTGTTCAATGACTAACTTGCAATATATTATTAATTTACTACGTTAACGATGAAAACGAAAAATACTAAGATTAATTAAAAAAAGAATAACTAGGGTTTAATTTTACGTGTACAATATTATTTTTAATAAAAAATTAAGTTGCATCGAATTAAAATTTAAATTTAAAGAATATTATTTATCTATCGCGTATAATAGTTATAATAATAAAATTAATTAATAAAATAAATTTACAATTTTTACTATAACGCATCTGTATTTTGTATTAAAATAACCAGTTTTTCTTTGCTACAAGTTTTCGATAACTTAAACCACATACTAAAAACTTAATATTGAATATAAGTTTTTTATTAACTAATTCGGAAAACCAAATTTTCAAAAATAAACCAAAATTTCTCTGAAAAGTAAAAATCGGATCTTTTTTTTTAAGATTGTGCAAATTGTACTAACGCATGATTAGATCTATAACAAGTTTATTATTCGCAAATTAAAGCATTAAATGGGTTTTTAAAATCTTATGGTGAATGTCTTATTAATGAGAAAGTAAACGAGATCAAAAACGCGACAGGTTTAAAATGTTGAGATGATTATTCTACATTTTTATTCATTAAAACATGATCAACAGAGTTACGGAATTCTTATTGTTTTGAAAAATTAGATAACCTGATTAATAAAGAAATTTTTTTATTTATAATCGTATTAGATAACCTGATTAATAAAGAAATTTTTTTATTTATAATCGTATTAAATCACAGAAATCACGAAATGAAATCACAAATTGTACCGAATTAGTAAAAAAAAAATTCACATTAATTAAATCACAGAATTCATATTAACCGCATCACAGAATTTGTCGCGATCATTTGTTTATGTAGATCTTTTACACGTGGTATATTCTATTACTGTTGTCGTAATTTTGTTCCTGAAAATGGAGAACGATACACGCATGGTATGTCAAAACAGATAATAATTCAAATGTCGCGGACCGGTTTATGTCCTTTTTTTAATATTTATTTCATTTTTTTAGAAAATAACTGTGGAAGATGCTAAGCGGATTTTGGACGAACAGGTAAAACATTATGTACAATTTTAAATATTATTTTGCGTATTTCGTGTATTTTACATTACCATCGGCTTGTTTGCGAAAAAGACAACATATCTTCAGAAAATAAACACGGAAATTCAGGAATGCACTTCTGAAATTAACGACTTAAAGTTCGAGTGTGAAAATCTGGAAAAAGAAAATGATAAACTTTCTAAAGAACGCGAACTCTATGAGTCACAAGCCGTAA